ATGTCTTGACCGTCGCGCACATGAAATCACTTGACCTTGACTTCGCCGCACTACAGTCACTACAAGCCTTTTCACATCCACCAAAATCACCGACATTCCAAGCGATTCCCAGCGATTCCAAGGCACATGGTGCCATGAGCGGCCAGGTTTGCCACAGCGTTGGGGGTTCGACCCACCAGAAGCGACAGGACCTGCACGTCGTTCATCAGATCTGAGTTCGTCAAAACGCCGTGTCTGCTCATTGCTTCCTGTAAAGGATGCAAGATGCAACAAGTTCAATCCTAGACATTATCAAACATTATCCCATAGGATCCATGGTGCTGGTATATATGCTAATATTGTGGGTATATTGATGGTAAATGTTACAATGTATATATTATATATATATATCATACATGGATCCTATGGGTATTGTATGTTGGAATTCATTAGAAGTTTCGTTTCTAGATGTTTGTAGAGTTTCTGTGTATGGTGAAGCTGTTTTTTAATGACGCATTTCGCCTCGAAGGCCCACCACTCGGACCACACCACCAAGGCGGCCGGCACCGACACCGCCAAGTAGTTGCGGAAGGCACCGGCCTTTTTTGAGCAAATCCCGTTGGAAAATGGGCAGAAGATATATCGGATATTCAATGGATTGGATTAAGGGAAAATTTACAGGAAAACCCCATATTTAATGGGAAAATCTATGGTTTCCTGTAAATTTTCCCTTAAACCAATCCATTGAGATATGACATGATCCTGGTTGGTGGTTGACCTACCCCTCTGAAAAATCATGGAGTGAAAGTCAGTTGGGATGATTCAACATTCCCATATATTATGGAAAATAAAATTCATGTTCCAAACCACCAACCAGGATATTTTTATGTGTTGGGATTTCCACCATCAGAAGATGATTTTTTTTAACACAAATTTGAATCTGAATGTGTCATGATGTGTCATGATGTGTCATGGTGTGTATGAAAATGGATGAAAATGGGAGATACCATGGAATAACAATCAAATCTCCTGTGGTAGTAGCTCATATTATCCAGGCAAAGCCATGTCAAAGCTGAAACCACGTGTGGTGGTCTGGGTACTTGTCCCTGCGGAAAAACTTTGGCAAGGTTGGTCTTAAAAGGGTCTCCTTCTGAATTGTGCCCTCTATGAATGACCCTTTGTGGATTGGCAGAAAACGAATTCTGCATAAAAGTGCTCCTTGCAACAAAATGTACTCCAAATCTGAAAAGAGTGTCAAGGCAAGCAAATGGTCATCAATCTCGGTCCAATCTTCATCAATATTTATGGATAACTCGGATAACTCTTCAATATTGGTCCGGATTGGCCCTATATTGGCCTGTTGCATAGAGATTCACCCACAACCACAGCATACCACAGCACCCACACGCCTTGATCACAGGCTCTGAATCGGCAGCGCGCTGCCACACTAATGTTTGAAGCCGTTGGCACCGAATGACGGTGAAGAGGACCACGCAACAAATCATGCCACCTGCAAGATGGATCGACGCAACGACGCTAGCTTTGCGAATCAAGTTGTCAAGCCTTGGGGCCCTTATTTGGATGGAAGAGTATGTGGCTGCCAGGAGTTACTACTACAGTATATCATGCCAATTCCCCATTGTGATCACTGCTCCACCCATCACCAGGTGCCATCGCTGGGGTCGACCCTGGTGACCTGGTGACACCTGGTGCCATCGGAGCTGGTGCCTACGGCTCGAGCCAGTGCATTGCCAATGTAGCCCATGTTCAGGAGCTGCGGATGCATGAAAACGAAGCCTTAGATTATGGGCCATTATGGGCCATTGATTGATCATGATTTTTTCTACCCAAATGATCCCGAAAAAAAAACGGCTGAAATGCATTGAAAATCATTGACATGTGCTTTTTCACATTTTTTTAAATGCTATGATTGAAACATCTTGAAACCTAGGACCTAGCACCTAGCAACATGAACTCCTTGGGACCGGTCTGGAGACCTTGGGAAAATAGACTCATTCCAAGCGCGTCAGCGCAAAATGTTCGGTTGATGTCAATTGCTGCCATGATGTCAATTGATGTCAATTGATGTCATCTGGAAAACATTGATTTTTGGCATGTTCACTGCAACTCTGCAACTCAGCAATGTCCACTGCCAAGCAACATAGCAGAATCTGCAGAGGGGAGCTAACTAAATTCCTGAGTTGAGCGATGAGCAATTTTTGCCGGCCATGGATAAGGGCCCAACAATCGTGGCCTATTAAAGCTTTGTGCTTTCAGCAAACATACAAGCGTAATGTCTGGGTCTTCTGAGGTTGCCCTGCCACGGGCAACCGAGGCACATGATCAAGCCAGGCATTGTGTACTTGGCCGATTGCAACGCGATATTTGCTGCATTGGACAGCCAGTAGAATGGAACGCCCAAGAGCCTCGAAAAAAATCAGCACCCCAGGGGCAATCTGCACGTGCAAAATGCAGGAACACGTTGGGCAAGTTCAGTCGACATGTCTCCATTTTGTGTCGGTGATGCCTCTGCAATCAAACATGTATCTCATATATGGTTTTGCAATATTTTGCAACGGATTATCAAGGGATATGACAATATGTCATATGGATATTATCCCATTTGATGGTGGTTTCTCAAATAAAAATCCAGTGACATGGTGGTTTCTCATATAAAAATCCATTTTTTTATGGGAGATTGCCCCATTTGATGTTTGTTTCCATATAGTATAATAGTAAAATCCATGCTGGTACCATGATCTCTGGCCCACACCGAGTCACTGCACTTGCGCATAGCGGGCGCTGGTGTAGGCCACATCAGCGGGTTGACCCAAGGCAATGAGCAGCGGTTGGCAGAGCACTGCACTGCAAAATGCGAAGATAAAACCTGAACTTGGCATCCGGGGCTTTCCTAAGTCATTTTGTCGGATATGCCAATATCATCCAATTGATGTGGATGGTTTATGATGGAACATCCTGTTTTTTTTAATGAAACATTTGGGAGAGTACTCCTATAGGAACCTCCGTCGGCATACAATTCACCACTGATTTGGGGATGGGTCAAAACCCTGGTACCTAGTGAACCCCAAAATAGCTGGTAAATGGATGTTCATTCCCCTAAAAATGGCCGAAGGAAGTTTAGAAGTCAAACTTCCGACAATATGGACAGATGAAAAGCAGAGAAGGGAAGTGGCAGAGAGAAGAGAAAGATTAGAAGAAAGAAGAGTAGAAGAGAAAGAGTAAGAAGACAGAAGATGCAGATGCGCGAAAAGGTAGGAAAGTCGCGAAACGTTGTGTTTTTCCAATGATTTGTGGCTCCGGAGGGTCGAAAAGTAGGCTCGCTAAAGCGGCGGGTGCGGAGCCAGCTGGCCAGAGGAGAGATGAAAAATTGCACGCCGTTGTGGCGCGAAGCACATTTCCAAGTCAAAATGTACAAAACACCCAGGTTCGGACCACTTTTGGAAGTTGAGATGTCGAAAAAGTGCACGCCGTTGTGGCGCGAAGCACATTTCCAAGTCAAAATGTACAAAACACCAGGTTCGGACCACTTTTGGAAGTTGAGATGTCGAAAAAGTGCACGCCGTTGTGGCGCGAAGCACATTTCCAAGTCAAAATGTACAAAACACCCAGGTTCGGACCACTTTTGGAAGTTGAGATGTCGAAAAAGTGCACGCCGTTGTGGCGCGAAGCACATTTCCAAGTCAAAAGTGTTAAAAACTGACGGTCTCGGACCACTTTTGGAGGTTCAGATGTCGAAAAAGTGTCAAAAAAGTGCACGCCGTTGTGGCGCGAAGCACATTTCGAAGTCAAAAGTGGAAAAAACTCAGAGTTTTGAGCCTTTTTTGACGTGAAGATGTCGAACAAGTAGACACTGATTAACTTAACTAACTTGACTAACTTAACTAACTTCACTAACTTAACTACCCTAACTTCGACGACAACAGCAACAGCAACAACAACAACAACACCAACCACAACAACTACAACTACAACAACAATAGATCGATCGATCGATCGATAGATAGATAGATAGATAGATGGATAGATAGATAGATCGATCGATCGATCGATAGATAGATAGATAAATAGGTAATTAGATGAAAGAGAGAGAGAGAGAGAGAGAGAGAGATGGATAGATCGATAGATAGATAGATACATAGCTAGATAGATAGGTAGGTAGGTAGATAGTCAGAGAAAGAGTGAGAGAGATCAATCGTCTTTCGATCCATCAGTGGCTTCGCTCTGCCATCCCTGATTCACAACAACCAACCTCTCCTATAGGTTTCCTATTTTTGAAACTTCCGCCACCGCCTTGTGCTGTACTACTGGTATTATTAGGTATTGATCCATACCCATTTGGTTGAGCTTCATGGGGCTACCAGCTGGTTACCAGCGATCTGGCGACACTGTGCAGCTGAGATGCAAAGGCATAGCAGCAGCAAAGCTCGGCGTACGTAGACGGGGTTCAACTTGTCGCTCTGATTCGCACCATAAGCCTCCCCACAGTCGTCGCATAAAAGTGCTACATCTATATTGGTGCCATACTATCAGATATGTTCAGATAATTTTAGATATGCATATAATATATATATATATATATATTCAGATAATTATAATATATATATATATATTTATCAATATACGTATATATATATATATAATGTTTATTATCAACACAAGTTGCCCCTTTTTTCCAAACTGAAGTCACTTCTCGGCTGCAGGTGTGGCGACCTTCAAAACAAAAAAAAACGGCTCCGCCTGGCTGCAGAACGTGGCTAAGCCAATGGTTGCGCTCACACCAAGCGACAGCCCGGTGATGTTCGAGTACATTTTTCCAATACCTCCATTGAAAGCTGGTGTCTGCGGACCACAAAATAATAGTGGTTCTAATATGTTATAATAGCAATAATAGTGGGATTATAACCATTATAATATGGGTATATGATGGTTATATAATATGGTTATTATACCAATAATCAAATATCAATATGTTGTAATGTGGTTATATGATGGTTATATGATGGGATTATAACATAATATATATATATATATAGATGGTTGGTGGTGCAATTTCACCATCTTGAAAAATATGAGTCAATGGGAAGGATGACATCCCATATATGCCTGGGAAATAAAACATGTTTGAAACCACCAACCAGTATTACTACAATTACTTCATCTGAATGCATCACGTCAAAGATATGTCCCCCCTTTTTTCCAATACATGTCCATTCCCACGGGTGAACTAGCCCTCCAGACACTTGAATGAAGTCAGGTCCGCAATGCCACCTGGTGACACTTGACCTTCATAATGAGTTGGACTGTTTGGGTGTTTAGTCACATTTCGAGAGCTTAGTTTTCGACTGGTCCTCGACTCTTCGCCTGCACCATCATAGTGTGATCGATTCTGGTAGTCGTAGTGTCCGACAAACGTCAAAGTCCATCTATCAGCACCAACACCTGGTGATCTCGGGAAAACATCGATTGGAATGTAGTTTGCTTTGTTTTGCCGAGTACACCAAAACGTCAAAGTTTGTTTTGGGAGTACACTATAATTCTGCTGCATTCATTTGGGCGTCCATTTTTTGCAGTTCAACTCTGCACCAATTCTGGGGCATCCCATGGCATCCCGAGTCTGTCTGAGGCTCGATCTTAGACATTGACTGAAGATGAGCGGTAGCACCAGTCTCAAGAGCTCCTTCAGAGATTTCACCTGCAGATTTCTGCCACAAAAAAAATGGAGAATTTTGGCAGAAAACACTTGCTGCGGTGCTCTTTAAAAACATGCCAGAAGGGCACTACACCGATGTCAAAGCAACAGATCTGATAGAATCTGATAGATGTGTAGCATTGTGTAGGAAACTAACAAACATGATACACATGAGCGCATTTACAAGCCCTTCTGTTGGCAGAGCAATGGGCACCATCTCCCGGAGGGTTGCTTCTCTCACCGACATGGTGCCGTCTCGGGGAAAGGCAATACGGCAGCTTTTGTGCCACCAGTCCACACTTGCAAAGTTCAAGTTGGTAAATTTGTCGTCAACTCGGTAAGTTCGCAGGCGTCTTCGATATTTATATATATATATATACAGTTATATTATGGAGTAGTTGCAAGTTGACTGGTTTGCCAACAAGCCTCATGGTTCAAATTGCCGTGGCAGTGTGAATGCGTGTTTGATTCTGTATGCTCAGTGCTAGTGTTGCAGCAACATTGAAAGGTCATAGAACTCCATAGCGCACCGTTCAAAAGACAGTTCACTCCTGAATCTTGGACTGGAGCTACTGCAGCTCTAAGAATACAAATGGCATCACTTTTGCGGCGCTTTCGTGGTCTTGTGATGCTTGGAGATGCTTCCTGCTTTCTTTGTATGAAGCAACTGGTGGTTCAGTGTTCGAGGCAAAGATGGCCACATGTTGAATCATTCCGAGCAACCAGGTCACATCATGAGGTCAAATTCCAGTGCCAAGCTAGGCCAAGTGAGTGGAGGAAATGTAGTGAATGTAGTGACCAGGATGATACCTCTGTGCGCAGTTGAAAATGTCTGAGTTTGGGGCTCACTGGCTCACTGCGCACCTTAGAGATCGGCTGGTATGGAAACACATGTGACAGCCCTGGAAGGCGTGAAGTGCTGGACAAGACATGGCAATGACAATGTCCCAGAAGTCCTCATCCCTCAAAACTGCAATAATAACAGTTTTTTTTGCATCTCTCAAATGACTGAGTGAACAAAAAAAGTGGTTCAATGGACAGTGCCAAAGGCCAAAGGGAAATGTATAGGAAACCATAGAGGTCCATTCATTTTCCTATTATTTTTTTTTGTTGTTCATCATCTTTGGCAGCTTCGCCATGTTTTTTTCGCAGGGGTTGGGTTTTCGCACCTCTCTGCAAGTCTTGCAGTTCTTCATTCAGTTTGTCACGCCTCACAACTGAATCAGATCATCTCCAATCCCCATGGCTGGTGGCGAAAAGCGGCTGTTGTTCATGGGAAACTAATCATATTATGTGAATATTTGTAGATAAGTATGTGTTTAAAAGATTTTATAAGTAAATTATATCTAAGAAGTAAAAATATAAGGATATATTCGGGTTATCTGAAAATGGGGTGTACCCGAAATGACCATTAATCAACGGATTTAGGGGTACACGATTTTCAGACAAAACCATGTAAAAAGGTAGTAAAATATCATATGATTTCCTACAATCATCAACCAGTTTTTCTGCCAGGTCCATGACTGGAGACGAAGGTGATCCCTCTCCGCACGAAGTTTTTCTATCTCCTCCAACGCGTGTGAAATTGAAATCATGGACAAATTTCAGTTTCTTGCCATTTGGAGTTTGGAGTTTGGAGCATCAAGTAATCGGAATGGATGCTACAGGTTTGTGATGATCTCACGCAATCCGCCATTATCTGCCGATATTTGAACACAATAAATATATATATATATAATTATATATATATATATATATCAGGATTTGTTTCCTACAAGTGGCAGATGATGATGATGATGATGATGAGGAGGAGGAGGATACGATGGTGAGGCTGATGATGATGATAATGATGATGATGATGAGGAGGAGGAGATGATGATGGTGATGGTGATGGTCTAGTGATGGCGATGGTGATGGTGATGATGATGATGATGATGATGGTGGTGGTGGTGATGGTGATGATGATGAGGGAAGGAGGAGATGGTGATGGTGATGGTGATGGTGATGGTGATGATGGTGATGATGATAAGGAGGAGGAGGTGGAGGAGGTGGAGGAGGTGGAGGCGGATATGATGGTGAGGGTGATGGTGATGATGATGGCGATGATAAGATGATGAGATGATGAGATGATGAGATGATGAGATGATGGGATTATGAGATGGTGAGATGGTGAGATGGTGAGATGGTGAGATGATGAGATGATGAGATGATGGTGATGATGGTGATGGTGATGGTGATGATGGCGATGATGATGATGTTTTAATCAGTGTTCCAGCGCCTGTCCTGTTGTTCTGGGTCGTGCTCCTGTCACGGAGCAAGGGGCCAAATCGTGAGCCCACAGGGTGGTCATCGCCAATTTCATTTCCACACTGCCATTGCAATGTACCATGAATAAGCTAAACCTTGTCCTGAACTCCACAGTGACTAGGTAGGCAAAAACTAGTACCAATATTTTCCGCGATGGTTTTACTGCTCACGGTCTGCTTTCTCCAATTTGCAATATGGTGTCGTATGGTGTCACCTTGTCAACTCTAGCCAACTGTTTTTTCAATGATTCCAACGCCATCCAACGGCCAAAAAACAGTTTCAGATGACATCTACAATGCCTATTTGCGATGCTACTGCTACTCACTAAGGATTTTGAAACATGTGTTCAGTCTCTCATTTCCTGCCAGGCTAAAAACTAGACTAGACGGTGTGGCCCCTTCAAGAAAAGCAGGAGGGAGTAGATCAAAAGAGGATGGAAAAGAAAAATAGGAATATGAAGGATGATGAAGGATGATGAAGGATGATGAATGATGAATGATGACCGAGGACCGAGTTTGTGGATGCATCATGGTTAGCTAATGAGTGATTTTGAAGTTATTGTATCGTATGTACATCCGTGTGTGCCCATGGAGCCTATTCAGATGACTGCAAGGACACAAGGGGATTACATAGAAGCTTTCCACACAGAAACTTTTCGCAAAGAAGCTTTTGCACAGAGGAGCTCTTACACACAGAAGTCTTTACACAGAGAAGTGTTTTACACAGAGGAGCTTCTACACACAGAAGCTTCCAGAAGCTTTTACACAGAGGAGCTTTGACACACAAACGCATTTACACGCAGAAGTGTTTACAAACAGAAGCTTTCACACAGAGAAGTCTTTACACAGAGGGGCTCTTACACAGAGAAGCTTTTACATTTTACACGCAGAAAAAGTTTCACACAGAAGCTTTTACACAGAAAAGCTTTTACACACAGAAGCTTTTACACAGAGAAGTCTTCACACAGAGGAAGCTTTTACACAGAAAGTCTTCACACAGAGGAAACTTTTACACAGAGAAGTCTTTACACAGAGGAGCTTATACACACAGACACTTTTACACAGACAAGCTTTTGCACAGAGAAGCCTTGACACAGAGGTGCTTTTACACACAGATGCGTTTCCACATAGCAGATCACAGAAGCTTTTACACAGAGATATCTTTACACAGAGATATCTTTACACAGAGATGTCTTTACTCAGAGAAGCCTTTATTACCCAGAAGAGTTTTTACACACAGAAGTTTTTTCATCTTTTTCACAGAGAAACCTTTACACAGAAGAGCCTTTAGCCAAAGACGCCTTTACACACAGAAGCTTTTACTCAGAGAAGTCTTTACACAGATGAGCTTTTACACACAGACGTTTTTACACAGAGAAGTTTTTACACAGAGGAGCTGTTACACACAAATGCGTTTACACACCGAAGCGTTTACACGCAGAAACGTTTACACATGGAAGCTTTTACACAGAGAAGTCTGTACACAGAGGAGCATTTACACAGGAGCTCTTTTACAGGGAAGTATTTATACAGAGGAGCTTTTACACACAGAGGCATTTACACACAGAAGCTTTTACCCGTAGAAGCTTTTACACAGAAGCTTTTACACAGAGAACTCTTTGCACAGAAGCGCTTTTACACACAGAAGCTTTTACACAGAGAAGCCTTTACACAAAGGAGCTTTTAGACAAGGACGCCTTTACACACAGAAGCTTTTCCACAGAGAAGTCTTCACACAGATGAGCTTTTACACACAGACGTTTTTACACAGAGAAGTTTTTACACAGAGGAGCTGTTACACACAAATGCGTTTACACACCGAAGCGTTTACACGCAGAAACGTTTACACATGGAAGCTTTTACACAGAGAAGTCTGTACACAGAGGAGCATTTACACAGGAGCTCTTTTACAGGGAAGTATTTATACAGAGGAGCTTTTACACACAGAGGCATTTACACACAGAAGCTTTTACCCGTAGAAGCTTTTACACAG